AACATACAATTTAATCCGGCTAACCTTCCTTAGAGAACGACCCGAGTCGGGTAACTCAGTTATTACTTGCCCAAAAATATTACAAACACCTCCTCTCTTCTTAGCACTTGTGAGTTAATTAAATGGGTTGAGGATGACTAATCACCTCCTATTATTGCCACGTTTTAATACCAAAAGTGAGGACAATTCTTAGCTTTCCAAATTATGAAGGAAACTCACGGCTTTGATGATGTAATTTGGAAAAAATTTCTAAGGCACGACTTTTAGGCTTTAAGTGTGATTAATTTACTAATTAATCACTAACTTATGTTTAATTAATACTTAATTACCAAAATTATTCCGAACGTAAACGGTACGTCGAAAATAATTTCAGTAATCTTGACTGAAAATAATTAATTCCGAAAATAATAATCAACAACGTTATTATATCGGAACTAAAACATAAATTATATTAATAAACTGACGGGATATTACACCAGGAGTTGGTGGGTCGTCAGTGGGAGGTAGAGATTGTCCATGGCCATCGTGAGACGAATTTTGTGGTTGATTTTCTGGCTTCTTTGGCGTCGCGAGGACCGGGTGGCTTATACCGGTATGATCGCCCTCCGGATGGGGCGGGTTGGTGGCTAACTCACGATATGACGGGAGTGTCTCACCCTCGACGTGTTGTGATAAAGCGATAATTCTATCGCTTCCTTTCTTGTACCAAAAAAAAAAAAATTATATTACACTTTTCTACATCTTATATATTTATTTTTAAAATTACCTAAAGAAGCTATAAATATTTTCAATTATACCTAAAATTCAAATTTCCCTATTGTTTTCAATAGGGATCATATATCATTGTTCGTCGCCCATATATCGAGCATATCAGAAATCATCGGATTTTTTTTAAAGAAAAAAAAAAGAAATTCCCTGTACGATCATCGCCCATCTCACCTCCTTCCTCGTCAGCCTTCACAGGCCGGAGAAGATCGTCGTGCGGAAGCAGCAACTCCAGGCCCGATCCGGATCCAAGCATGGCGGAGGCTACCCGTCCGACTCCGCCTTCAATTTCTCCGGCGATGACTCGTTCGCCACCCTCGCTGCCGACAAGGACGCCTCCTTCCGCCTCGTCGACACCTCGTCCAAATCGAGCAAATCCCAGCCGTTGTCGGATGTTGTATCTGTGCACCAGTGCTTGGATGTTAAATATGGAAAGCGTGTACACATACTTCCCCTGGATGATACAACTGAAGGTCTCACTGGGGATCCCTTTGATGCGTATCTCAAACGTAAGTCGCATCGTTGCATCTTGTCTATTTAATTTTGCTTGAACAAAATGGATTTTAATTTAACTGTTAAATTATGTGCAACATACTTTCTGGAGGCCTACCGCCTTGTGAGGAAAGGAGACCATTTTCTTGTGAGAGGTGGAATGAGAAGTGTGGAATTCATATTTTATGAAGCCTGGACATATCAGTATGTTCGTTGCCTAGACATATTTCATGAAGCCTCTTACATATTACACTTTTTTTTTCTTTAACTCGTAGTATGTGTTGTGTGTATATGTAGTATATGTTCAATGTACGTGCAGTATATGTTTTGGATGAAAAACTTCTGAGGGGATAATTGTTGAACACTTGATGTGCTTGATTTAGATAGTTTTCATTTTGTATAAGTTGCGGGTATATGTTGTGTATATATAGAGTATATGTTATGTATAATATACGGGCTACCTTATATTATGTATGGTTTATATTGACAGAGCATAAACTGATTTTTTTTTTTT